GAGGCGGGTTTAAACACGTAACGGAAACCGTGCGAGGTGTCGGGGCGTTGGGACCGGCCGCTCGAGGGGTGGTGTCGCCCCGGGGGTTCTCCGGACCCTCATGGGTGTGGAGCCCGGCTCTGGCCTCGGAGCTGAGCCTGCACTGGGCAGGGACTGAACCCAGACGGTCCCTGCCAGCCTCAGGCAGCCGCAGGATCTTTGGGGAGGTGGCAGCAGAAGTTTTTCCAACTTGTGACATAAACCCTGTTGCTAGGGAGAGCTGGGGACGTCTCTGGGTTTCTCCTGCGGTGGTTCGAGAGCTGTGTGTGAGTCCTCAGTGGGTGCTGGAGCCGGGGCACACATCTGGGCCTGGGGAGACTGTAACCCTTCCTCGAGAGGAGGACTGAAGCGCCCAGGGGTGTCTGCGGTTGTTCATGGCTAGAGGCTGGGGGATCCTTTTAGGAACCTGTCGCTTCCTGTTCAGATCAAGGGCTGTACTGCTGTGTCTTCCACTCTCTAATTTTCATAAATCTGACATGATATACAAGTGTGTTTTGTCTTAAATATATACTGCTTAAAAACAGGTGCAGTGTTACTAGTTTTATTTAAAATTGGTTATTACATGACCCTTGGCAAGCTGACAAATTGATCAGTGAGCTGTAAGGAGTGATCTAAATTCTAGTCTAGCAGAAGTGCTGTACAAAATCCTGCTCTGCTGCATTACAAGTAGCACTTTACTTGTAACACTTGTTCTTACATAGTAAATTTTGAAGGAGTGTTACCATAAGGTCAGCTAACTGAGCCTGATACACCACCCCTGCAACAGCTGTGCTTCATCACCCCCTGACAAACATCAGTGCTTTGGAAATCCCTCCTCCCTTGCTCTCATTTCTTCAAGTCCCTGAGGTACCACCAGGCAAGAAGCTGCTGATGCTGTACCTGGCTTCCCATATTGTGTGTGCTACTGGTTAGCCAACCAGTAGACACGTATCTGCTGGGCTGGCAGTGACCACATTGCAACATAAGTCTGGGTGGTGCTGGGTTTCCTTCAGAAAAACTAATTTGGGTGCATTTTTTCAGGCTGCAGAACCGTATAAATCCAGAACCTCAACATTTCTGTCAAATTTTACAGAATTTGTAGATGATGGCAGAATTTAGGGAGGGTGTGGGGTTTGGGAGGGGGATGTACAGGTACCCTGGAACTGTTCAAACCTTGTTTCCTTATGAAACTGGTTAAAAATTGCAGTTAGATTTTGAAGGTTTGTAACTGTTTGGGTAAAGCCATGGTGTAATTGTGCAAAATATTTTCCATTGTTTAAACTTTCACCATCAATATGTAAAGAACTATAATCTTTGTCCTTCCCGCATCCCATGCTTGTCAGGGGATGCCAGGACACATCACCTTTTGTTGTTTGGGTTTGTATATTTGATGTGTTTGAGCCTGCACGCTGCCGTAAATGGAAAGGAAGAGGATGTTCAGAAATTGGCACCTTTTCCTCTTAGTGGTCATTTTATTATTTCTTTATCAGGTGTTCCTCATCCATCAGCGATGAAGTGACTTCAGCCTCTGGACAGAGCACTCTGACAAGAACTAAAAGCTGTATAACAACTGTAAGTACTTTTACCTAGGCTGACAAAAACCTTTCTGCCAGAATCAGGTTAGTGTTGCAGGTGGATTTTTGTAAGATTTGTAATTGCGCTGTGCCATTACCTCCACTGAAGTATCAAGCTCAAAGGTGATGACTTTAACCTTGCATCTATAAGGCTTTTCCATGTTGTGTTAGGTTTTGGTTAAGGTTATGCTTTTTTTTCAGAAGATTAAAGAAATGCCATGATCCAAAAGCTTTTAAGCATTTGTTTAACTTCAAAAAGACACTTTAACTTTAGCACATATGTAAGAGTTTACAGGTTCAGGGTTCTAGGATGGAAGGATCTCATGGTTTCCTGTTCATTTTTCTTAACTGTTAAATTAACACTCTTCTTTTCCCTTCCCCCCTTCAAATTTCTCTTCAGATTGTGTTGGTTACTGGAACCCTTAATTTGCTCGCTTGCTCTAAGACTTTGGACTCCAATGACTCTTACAGACTCCTGCTCTCAATCCATCTGTATTTGGTCTTTAACAACCACGTTAAAACCAGAAAATACCAGAAGCAGAGAAATTATTTGTATTAATCCTAGCTTTACAGCACAATAGTGTGTGATTCAAAATGGCAGATGCTACTGAAAGCAAGCTCAAACTTTAAGCAAGGTTGGCCATGGTTGCTCTCTGGCACAGAGGGAAATGTTGTTATTTCCAGTTTCCTTATTCACAGGTTTCCTTTCATTGTATTGCCCTTTCCCGTTTGTGGGAGAAGAGCCATGAAGAACCGTTCCTCATCTCCCCCTTTGCACGTCCATGTGGATGAAAACACCCCTGTCCATGTCCATATTAAAAAGGGTCAGAAAATACCACCTGCAAAATGCCAGGTAGGAGTGCGTAGCTGCGTGCTTGTAAGGGCTACAAAGAGAAGGTGAACGGTCCTAGAAGCATCACAAAATCCTCAAGGTCGTGTTAGGACTGTAAGGCTTGAATTCATATTCAATGGTGAATTTTCAGTAACATGTTTTCTATGTTTAAGAAGATTCAAGTATAATATAGAATATATGGTTACTTTTAATGTTCAGTTGTGTGGTTGTGAGGGGTGTTGCTTCCAGTGTCATGTACTTTTTTTATTTTTACTTTTATTTCCTGGATTTGTGTCCTGATAATGGTTTTTCTTTGGCTTCATCCATATTTTTGTAGGAGAGGTTTGGGGAAAGGTAATATCTAGGCGTTTCAAATTCCATCTTGATTGTATTAAAATAAATGTGTTTAGAAAAAAAAGCATTCAGGATTGAAACCATCCTCTGGCATTAAGCACGTTCTCAGTCTGCTGAGCTGTGCAGCAAAGAGGATCTCTTCACAGCCTTATCCACAGCAGGCAGTACTGGAGCTGAGTTTCTAGCTCTCTCACATCCTCTTTTCTAGTTGGATGTTTATGTGAAGTTGTTCTCAAAAGGTGATGGAAGCTCCTAGCTCATTCTTCCTTATGTGCAGACATCCCAAGTCCTCTATTAATTTTGTGTTTGTTGCTAATGGCAAATATAACAGGGTAGGGCCTGACAGTGAAATCAATGACTCCTATTAATTAATTGCATGTAGGGAACATTTAGAATATCAGTTTTTTCTCTAAGGTTAGAATTGTGCAAAACCATTTTAATGTTCCTTCAGTTAGAGCATTTTGAGTTCAATACAAATAAGTGTGGATCTATTAGTTGACTGCAAAGTTTGGAAAACGCTGTAGGGGCTTTTTGTGACCAACCACATTGCACTGTTCCTTTTTTCTCTGGGAGTGCTGCTGTCAAACGATGCAGCTGCTCTTTTGTGAGATGAATGTGCAATGTTGAAGGGATCTTCCAGGCTGTTCCTTCTTCACATGAATGGGTTGTATTGTGGTATTTTGTTGTGTGTCTCCGCACAGAGGAGACTTCCTCCCACCTCACCCCAAGCTCTCACCCCTGGCCTGCTGGGTAAGGCTCTCATCACAAGTGCAGATATCGCAATGATATACCAGAGCTGCTAGATGATAAACAAGAATTTACTGCATCTAGCCAGACTGTCAACTGAACATGCAATAACCTTTCCTTCTGGCTGGTGTTAGCCTCCTCTGATGGCTGCTGGCTCGTCTGATCTGATGTGTCATGTGAAACACTATCTGATATTTTTATATCTATGAACTTTAATTTGGCTTTGCAGCACTAAAAGTTGTAAATGGTTCTTTAAAAGTCTGTGATGTACTTTATTTTTCTCCTTCTTTAGCAAAAGCACAAACAGAAAACAAAAGGGGATACTGTGAACATGTGCCGAACCGTCCGGGTGAAAACCAAGGCCCCCTGGGTGCCCCCAGGCAAAGCATCTCTCCGGGAGTCCACCAGCAAATGGGAGGTATGGCTGATTTTGCTCTTTAAAACAAACTTTCAGGTTTATTTGAGGTTGAAGAGAGCAGTTGTGCAGTGAGGCAGCTGGGCTGGTCTGAAAGAAGGCTGCTGTCACCTGCCATCCATTTTAAATGTCTTCTCTAAATATTTTTCACTTTTTAGTATAGAAAAATTTGAAATTAATTAGCGGCCTGTGGCAGAATCATGCCTTTCTACCTCTAGAAGCCAGACAAATTTCTTTATTTATTGTAGTTTTACTAGTCCCCTTTAAGATCTCATCTGGAGGCACAGTGAGGGGCTGCTGTTCTTAGTCTCATCCGAAGCACGGAGCATTTGTGTGGTGTTGTGTAATATTTTCTTTCTCGTGGGTTGGTAGTTTTGCTTTTTATGTTCCTGGCTCTTCCTAAATGAGAATTTGAACTTTAATTATATTTTCTTCTTTCTCTGTTCTAGTCTTTCTCTGTTCTCGATCTTTGCCTCGTGGAAATGCAAGAGCTATTTACAAATATTTTTTCTTCTTACCAGCCTTGTTGCGGTGATGCGACCTGGTTTCTGCTTTTTGGCAGAGTTATAACTTTAACCTAAAAAAATGATGCCCTTTATTGCTTTTCCACCAGGGACCAACTCACCACCTAGAAGGTGCACCCTCAGATTCAGAAAAAATGCTGTCAGTACTGCGCCTGAGTGACCTCTCTACAGATGAGGAGGATGCTATTTACTGCAAAATAAACGAATATGAGAAGAAGATAGGTAGCCTGATGAATACAGTGGGAATGCTGAAGAATGAGGTGAGGAGACCGTGTAAAGACCTGCAGATTTAGGCTTTGTAGCTGATCGTTTGGCCAGAGGAGGCTGGAGTCAGTCTTGGTGCAGTGGAAGACTACCCAGGCTGTTGGTAGCGTGCTTTAAAAAAATAATCCGTCTGAGTTGTTTAGAAGAGCTGAACTATCCCAGTGAGATCTTAAGCTCTACTATGAAACATTTAAAAATATTATCCACTTAATAAGGTATTGCTGTGCTTCAGTTTCCAAATAATCTGTCTTCTTCAGAAACAAGTCTGGTACAGTAGTTCAACCCCCCTTTTCAGCTGTTGGTAGTGCTCTTAGCTGCCAAATGGGATGTGCGTGTCATTCATGAGCAGCAGTCAGCTTCTGAGCCCTGTGCACCTGGTATCACTTTAAAAGCACCTGGTTTGTCTTAAGTTCTATTTAAATATCTTCCTCAGGCCAAGCTGCAGAAACAGGAGGAACAGCAGCAAAGGACAAAGATTCTCCTTGAGGAGCAGAAAGAAGAACTGAATGAGGTCACACAAGAGCTGGCAGAAACAGAACACGAGAATACACTGCTCAGGCGTAATATTGAGCGCATAAAGGAGGAGAAAGATCTGACTGTGTAAGAAAGCTCCGGTTCTCCATTGTTACTGCAAGTAGTGGTATTTACAGGGCACCTGCCTCCTTTATTGCTAACATTATCTGAGGTTGTAGTTTGTACCCTGGCTTGCCGTGTTGCTGAAGAACTGATGATTTTGGATTTTTTGTCACCTTTTAGAAGGGGGACTCCAGGTGGGAAGAGCTCCAGAGAAGGGTTCTAGTGTGATTATTGGAATGGAAAAAACTACACTGAGAGGAACCCAAGAGTGGCTGGCTTGTGTGGCCTAGTGAAGGGTCATCCGAACTCTGCAGTTAATATTTTGAAGGTTAAGAGATGCTGTTTGAATGGGGATGATATTGGTAGAACAACAAATGAATTAACATGGAGCTCAAAACTAGAGAATAACTTTTGGCCTTTGTGAAAATCATACTGAGGCAGGAGTGACAGCCCCTGAGAGGACTAAGTCGTGTTTTTCTTAGTGACCCTGAAGGTCTCCAAGTCTGACGTTTTTGCATCTGCTTTTTATTTAAAGAATTGGGGAAGTTTGTGTCTCCATGGGGAGAGCTGGTTTTATTTTTTCCTTAAGAGAGATCACTTGGAAGTTAATACTGTGTATTCCTTTTTTCAGAAAACTTTGTGAAAACTTCTGAGATTAAAAGCCTTGGCTAAAAACTTTGAGCTGTATGTCTTGGTGTGCTTTCCTGTTTCATGTTCATTTAGAGTCTTATTTCTGGTGTGGCTTAAGTGCCCAGGAAAAGCACAGCATTGCGTTTTGGGTTTAATAGTGTGTGCAGGCTTTGGGACAAGCCCAGTGTGTCCACTCTAAGTTCCTGTTTCAAAGCTGTGGTCCTAGCAAGCTCCTGGTGTCTACTTACTGGCTTCTGTCAGAACAACTTCCACGCTGAAGGAGCGTAAATCTTAAGTAGTGTTTGTTTAGAGCTTTTATCCTCTGATTTGAGGGGTTTTATGAGTTTTAACCCAGTCAACTGTATATCAATAGTGGCTGGTACACCTGTCAAAGCTTCTTGTTTCTCTGATGGCTGAATTCTCATTACAGGCTACAGAAGAAGTACTTGCAGCAGGGGAAAGAGGGTTTGATGTCCAAGCTGAGCGGGGCAGAAAGGGATGGAGAAGCAGCAGCCAGGCAGATCCATGCTCTGAAAAATACGATTGGGAGACTCAACATTGTAGGTGTTTTTTCATCTTGCATTCACTATGTTGTCCTGTTACCTGTCTGTCTTAAAAATGTAATGTTACAGTTGCTGATCCAGAAAAACATAAGGAAAAGTGGAGGGTTTTAACATGCTTAAGGTTTTTGCTGCTTTTGTTTGGAAGTGGGGTATATACTTGCAGCATCCAGTCAGCTTCTGCACACATGGAGCTGACTATTGCGCTGTTTATGCTTCTATCAGCTTCGTACATTAATTCCATGTGAACAATTCTTTTATTTTCTTTTTTTTTGTTTTTCCTCCAGGAGAAACACATGACCAGCTCAGACCTTAACACACTGACAAGACAGAAAGAGCTTCTGCTCCAGAAATTGAGCACCTTTGAAGAAACCAACCGGACGCTACGAGAACTTCTCAGAGAGCAGCACAAACGGGAGGTGAGCAGTGCTGTGTGCTTGAACTTGGATGATTACAGGAGGCTATGTTGTTTCGTGAACTGAAATGGAGGCTGAGAGCTTTTAATCCTTTTTTATCCAACCCTGCTGTTGACCCTGTGTCATAAAGGATGGATAGGGGTTTTTTTTATCCCTGCCTATGTTGTAGAGTAAGACTGACTTTTCTGTTTTATGTTAGAGCATCTAAGTCTTTGTATTAAAAGATGTTAGCGCTACTGTGTTGCCAGCTCTTTTTCATCTGCATACAGCTGTGTCTTTGGGTCACTCTAGTCTGAAATGTTACTGCTGCGGCTAATTGCATTGGCTGAAGTCTGAGGACTAGATGTGGCCTTAGCTAATGGGAGCATATGGATGTTCACAACTTTTTTTTGGTAGGCTGTAAGAGCAGTAACAGAGAAATTGTAAACAGTTCTGTACTGCTTGTAAGAGCAATACAGACATGAAATTGCTATTCTTCCTGTAGTTTATATTCCATTTGAGCAAAAGCGGGCTGATGGTAACAATTCTTTCAGCCACCAGTGAGGCTGGATGAAAGGACTCAGTTCTTCCATGTGACTTTTCCTAAGAAGTGAGAGAGTTCTGAAAGATCTTAAATTACCACCATGCTTTTTATTGTCTTTGACTATCAGAAGTGGAAAAGCTTTCTGAGATGGATGATGATATATGAAATATTTAGCAAATTTGATACTTCTGGGTATCTTCTGAGAACTGCTGCTGCAACTGAGGGGAAACAATTGATTTGCCCAGTTCCATCTAAGGAATCTGTATAAAATTGGTCTTTTTGGTTAATAATTTTTTTCATGTATTTTGTAGAAGGATGCTCAGAAGATACTGGAGCGGCAAGGAGTGCTGCTGAAAATGCTGGATGTCTCAGATGCAGAGAAAGTGGTAAGCAAACCAAAATTTATCTCTCTTTTTTTAATGATAAAGCAGGGAGATCTAAAATTGCTCTTCTTTATCTTGTCTTCAGTCATTAAGTCTTACACCAATGCCTTTTAAACCAATAAAAGATATTTTGGCTTTTGTGGTAATCAGAGCCACTGCATTGCTCCTCTGTTAGCAGTCTACGTTTCAAGGTGGATAGATTTTCGTAGTCTTTGAAATATGGGGGCTTAGAACAGGGATAGCACAACTGAAACCTGCATATAGAGCACCATTAGGATTTATAGTATTGATCTGTAAAGAAGAACTTAAACCTGTTCTCATTGTGTTGTTCAGTTCGAGCAGAAATGATTCTGCTTACCTTTTCTTCTGGCACTGAATGAACAAAACAAGAATTGTACTACATATGTCTTTAAAAAGAAAACTCTGGGAGTGGGAGAGAAAAATATACCTACCACCTGACAGTCAGGATAGATTTCTTCAGTTTGGAAATCATCTTACTGTTTCTGTGTGTTATCCTTGGAGACAGACAAGCAGAAACAGGGTAAGCTTTCTGTATCTGCTTCTGTCACTGAGTGAGTGAGTGACCTGGTGACAGTTTTTGTTCATTTCCTTATCTGTAAACTGAGAAGAGTTCTTATATTGCCAGGAGTTATAAAATTTACTGTGACATGTAGGTAATGCCCTTTGTTGTCTGTGGAGTATATAGTCCTGTCAGGTCCTTGTTCTTGACTGGGTATCCTGTGCCCTGTTACACAAATGTATGTGTAGCCGTTTTGCTTTCTGCTGAAGGATTATGCAGACTGTTTTTCTGGGGCTGAGGATGCTGTTGCTGTGGATACCAAACAGAGTGCTGAGGATCAGAAGGTCTTGGGAGGGAGACACACTTTCCCTCCACCTGCCAGCCTAAATGTGTTTGTTACTTGAAATCTGAGTGGTATTTGTTTTCCAGCAACTTCAGCAGAGGCTTCAGGAGAAAGAAAAAGAAGTGGACAATCTTACTATTCAGTTACAGGTGGAAAAGGTAGTTTCCTTTTTCTATTTTCCCCTCCCTGCTCCACCTTCCAGTTCTGTAGAACCACCGATAGTCCAAAATACGGGCTTGTATTTGCAGACAATTACTTTTTAAGGGATCAGATGGCTGGCTAGCTTATAAAACTAAACAGACAGCTACCTATTCCCACACAGTTGTGGATCCAATTTTCTGTTAGTAAGACATCCGTCACAAAGATGAATAGGTAGTATTCTCTTTGTTTGGGCTTATCACTGGATTACCTTGCTGTTTAAGATCCTGGTGGTTCCTGATGTCAAATGCCATTCTGTTCCTCTGCTTTACTAAAGGAATGTAATGGAAGAGATCAGATATGAAGGATGTTTTACACTAGAACAAATTTTCGGGCCAGTCAGTCACATCTGATGTAAAATCAGTGGGCACTCATTGCCCATGAGTAGAGCAGCTGTGAGGGTCCATCTGAAGAAAGTGGAGGTGGCTGGAAATAGTATCAGATTTCTTCACTGAATGTTACATATTAGAAAATGTTCCTTTTTTTGGCTTATTGAGGAAAAAGGTGTGTGTCTTGTTTGCTTCTTATTTAGGACCAGGCAAAGGCAGCAGCTGAACTCTCCAAATCTATGGAGGCTGTGAGAGGCCATTTACAAGGACAGCTGCGAAATAAAGAAGCCGAGAACAACCGTCTGAGTACACAGATACGGGTATGTCTTCAGTGGCCCCTGGGGATTGTCTCTTCATTTACTCACATGAACTGAATTGACTGACAAGGGAAGTATCACTCGCCAACTATTCTTCCACTGTGTCTGGTAGCCTGAAACATTGGCTGGTGATGTTTATACCAGTAGCACACATCGTACTTTTCAAATCAAGTAAGAAAATAAAAAGCTTTTCATTTCTGATGCATGAAGCAAAAAGGCATGAGCCTTAAGGTCTGTGTGCATTTATTAGATTTTTTTTTTCTCCTAAGTTAATGACTACATAATTATTTAAAAGGTAGCTTTGGTTTAGTCAAGATCATAAACTATTTGATTTGCTTTCTGGGAAAAATGCTGTGCCATGAGTTCCTGTATTTGATCACACTCATGCATGCTTTCTCTAGTTTCAACCAGGAGGAGAAAGTTCCCCTGGTTTATCTTGACCAAAGTTTTATGTTTAATATATCTGAAGTTGTGATGGTGTTATGATGAACATATGTGTCAGTGATTTAGAGGGGCTTTAATTTTATAAGGTATATAGCTGCATAAAGCAACATTGTTATATGCAAGCATTTCAATTAATAAAGAGTATGTTCTTGGGTAGATCAAAAGACTGGGAGATGAGTATCTTGATCAGGAGAGGAAATCGGTATTTTAGAGACCAACCTGTGAAAGAAGAAAATAAGACTTTTGGAAGGAAAGGAAGACATGTCATGCTGACATCTCTGCCAGCATTAGGACAGGATTGTGTAGGTGACATGTGATTGCAGGTACCTCCGGGCTGGGGGTTTAGGGCCAGTGCTCTCCACTGTTTCTAGGAAATTAGTTCCTGCTTTGGGTATGCAGGTATAGGGACATTATTCCACGTGATGTGTTTTCTGACCCTGTGTAGAATCTGGAGCGCAGTGAAGTTCAGCATAAGGCGGAGGTAGAACGTATCTTGGAACAACTGAAAGAACTAAAGCAGAAGGCAGACCGTGATAAAGAGGCCCTGAAGAAAGCCATCCGTGCACAGAAAGAGCGAGCAGAGCGGAGTGAAGAGTATGCAGAGCAACTGGCTGTCCAGCTAGCAGAAAAGGTACCTGATAGTACAGGAGGAGAGACCTCATTTCAGATCACTCCTCTAAATCTTTGATTTCTGGTAGCAGCCCTAGGGAGAGTCCCTGCTTTCAACTAATGACGTTTATTTCTGTCTTGATGCCTTGGCCTATTTGTGCTAACTTTAGAACAAATCCAGTTTTCTGAACTTTCACTGTATTCGCTGCATGTCCTTAATTTAGGACATATAACAACTTAGATCATGCTAAACTATCAGATCTGATTTTTTTGCCTGGTTCTTTAGAACCATCTGAGGGTTGAGAAAAGCCAATGAAATAAAGTCTGGTAGTTTTGGCTGAAAATTCTGAATGGAGTTGGTTGTCAATCGAGAAACTAGTCAGAGCAGAACAGTACAAAGACTTAGAGGTGTACTGGAATTTCCTGTTGAAAAATGACTGAAGGATATCAAGAAGAAGTAGAAAAGGTAGGACTAAAACAAATCAGAAGGGAATGTGAATTTTACACTACTTGATTTTTTTTTTCTCCCTTGTTTTTAGAATTCCAGGGACCAGAGCCACTAGTAGAATCTTAGCCATGCTTTGTATTTCTGATAGTTCACCTGCCTTCACTGTTGGCTGACAGCAGTGTTGGAGCACACCTCTCTCTGAAGCATCAGGAAGAAGAAAAATAAATACTTGTCCTCAGTATTTTAAAAGTCTTAGTGAAGTCTCTGCACATATCATGCTTACCCATATCAGTATATTCTCTGCATATCCCATGTCCAGTGACCCTCACTGTTTTCCTCGTGTGTTTCTTTTGTTTGATAGGACAATTATGTTGCTGAGGCGCTGTGTACTCTGGAGACTTGGAGGAGTCGCTACAACAAAGTTGTAAAGGACAAGAGTGACCTCGAACTGGAAATTGTTACACTGAACAGGTTAAAATAACATCAGTGTGGAGAAGCTGGCATGAGTGGGGATGAGTTCTAAGCTATGGATAATTTAATTGAATTTAATAGAATAATTAAATTAAATGGAATAATTTAATTGGATTGCCTGTAAATATCCAAGCAAAGGCAGCACTGCCTAAGGGCTAGAGCAGAGTTTGGAGAGATGGCGAGAGAGAGAGAGAGATGTGGCTTCTGGTGCTGACTTGCCACACCAAAGGCAGACTTTTTAAGGGTTTGCTGACCCTTAAAGCTCTGCTCCTTTGCCATTTTGTAATGCTTTGAAATAATTAGGGCTATTTTTCTTTTGAGATCTGTTTGAGAAACTTGAAGGGATTAGAAGAGATAAGCAGTGGAGTTCATGCCAATTTTGTTGTGAAGGTAAATAAATGTGTTGGTATCACTGCAGTACAGTTGCTTCAGGAAAAAACAGGTAGCTACAAGAGAAGAGAGGTACCTCTTTATCATGTGTATCTTGGAGGCAATGCATTTCAGCTCCAGGGGGACAACTCAAGTTTATTTCCAGCAGGCTGAGAAGACTGAGGTAGTAGAACAGTGTAACAGACAGGTGTGCACACATGACTGGAGGAAAAAGATGAAAGGACAGGGAAAAGCCATATTTCTGAAGCTAATTTTCAAGGGTTAGGAGTCTTACTCTTTTTTGTCACTTAATCCTTAACTTTCTTTCTGTATGGCAGCCGTGTTGCAGACTTGGTGGAACAGCAGGCAACTGTGGAGGACAGGATGCGGGGCGACAGAGAAGCTTTGACGAATGAATTGCATCGACAGAGTTCAGAGACCACTTCTTTCAAAATGGAGAATGAAAGACTGAAGGTCAGTGATTTGAGGGGTTTGAAGCTGAAATGCTAGGGGAAAAAAGGAGAAATTGTAACAAGCTTGGTCTCTGAGGACACAGTTGCGTTGCACCCATTGCTCCCATTTAGTTTCAAACCAGTTTTACCATAACCTGGTGTGGTGGGTTAGCCCTTGGCTCG